GAGCCATCTCCCCAGCCCCTGGTAATTTCTTTTGACTTGCAAAAACTTCTTAATAGGAGGAGGTCCCAGTTGTTAATTCTTTCAAGTATTACCCGTGCAATTTGATTTTTGTTCATGAACTCTTTGCCTACCCCTACATCTTCAAGAGTTCCTCCTACTTTCTCTTTCAGGAGATTCAGTGTTTCTGTTTAAATGTTTAGATATTTAATCCACTTTGACTTTACCTTAGTCATGGTGATAGACCTGGGTCAAGTTTTAGTTTTAGGCATGTACAGAGCCAGTTTTTCCAGCACCATTTGTTAAAGAGGCTATCTTTCTTCCAGTAAGCGTGTTTGGCCCCTTTTTCGAACATCAGGTGGCTGAGTGTGCTCATAGAGGCTTCTACATCTTCTAATCTATTCCATTGATCCTCAGGTCTATTTTATTGCCAGTATCATGCTGGTTTTATCACAGTAGGCTTGTAGTATAATTTCTCATCGGGAATTGTAATGCCTCCTGCCTTGTCTTTGTTGCCCAGGATTGCCTTTGCTATTCTTGGTCTTTCCTGGTTCCAAATAAATTTTAGGAATGATTTCTATAGGTCTGTGAGGTATGTTGTGGGTAGTTTGATAGGGATTGCATTAAATCTGTACAGCAATTTTGGGAGTATGGTCATCTTCACAATGTTGGTTCTTCCTATCCAGGAGCAGGGAATATCTTTCCATTTTCTGAAATCCTCTATGATTTCTTTTTTCAGAGTACTGTAATTTTCCTTGAAAAGATCTTTGACTTCTCTAATTAGATGAATTTCAAGGTATTTCACATTCCACGGTGCTATTGTAAAAGGTATTGTTTCTTTTAATTTCCCTCTCAGTGTGTTTGTTTTCTGTGTAGAGGAATGCTATTGACTTTTGGGTATTGACTTTGTATCCTGCTATGCTACCCAATTTGTGTATCAATTCTAGTAGCTTCTTGGTGGAGTTTTTTTGATCTTCCAAGTAAAGTATCATGTCATCTGAATAATGATAATTTAACTTCTTTACCTATTCTTATTCCTTTTATTTCTCTCTTGTCTAATGTTTCCAGAACTATATTAAATAGGAGAGGTGATAGAGGACATCTTTGTCTTTTGACCAAATCTGAGAGGAAAAGATTTCAATTTTTCCCCATTTAGAGTTATATTAGCCATTGGGTTGTCATAGATGGATTTTATCAGATTGAAGTAGAGGCCTTCTATTTCAATTTTCTGTAGGACTTTGAACATGAATGAGTGTTGGACTTTGTCAAAGGCCTTTTCTGCATCAATTGAGATGATCATGTGGTTTTTAGATTTGGCTCTATTGATATAGTGTATTACATTTACAGATTTGTGTATATTGAACCATCCTTGCCTCCCTGGGATGAATCCTACCTGGTCATGGTGTATAATCTGCTTGATGATTTGCTGTATTCTATTTGCTATGATTTTATTGATGATTTTGGCATCTATGTTCATGAGGGAGATTGGACTGTAGTTCTCTTTTTTAGTTGCATCTTTCCCTGGTTTTGGTATCAATATAATACTGGCCTCCAGGAATGATTTTGGGAGAACTGCTTCTGTTTCAATTTTATTGAAGAGTTTGAGGAGTTTTGGGATTATATCTTCTGTAAATTTCTTGTAGAATTCAGCTGTGAATCCATCAGGGTCTGGACTTGTCTTTGTCAGTAGGCTTCTTATTATATTTTGTATTTCATTGGATATTATTAGGTTACTTAGAGATGGTATATCTTCTTGATTCAGTT